TGCGCTACTGTAGTTTGTTTCTTGGAAACTCTTGTGGGCATTTTTTTTTTCCAAGAAAACGTAAGATACTTGATTTTAGCATTGGTTGCATAATTAGGGCAAAGTAATCAACATAAAAAGTTAGCTTTTTTTCATGGATGGTTGAGAATATGATAATTAAATTATTGATATCAGCACATGTTGCAGGAAGTGGACGAATTGACTGGGACAAATAAAGTATTTGCTGTCTGTCTGTCAATATTTCTAGGTCTCTGCAAATAATGATGTGTGTCATCATACACCAATTGCTTTTTCTACAGAGTACAGACACCTATTGATCAGAAATAAGACTATGGAAAAAAGACACATATAGATAAGAGATTTTAATCATGGGAAAAAAAAATAATAAATCCGCAGATGCCATTCAAGAAACAATAGTACCTACATATCGGCGTGGAGTTCTAAAATTCTACTACTACTAAATCATAAACTCATCTTAAAACCTCTGCCGTCGAGTTGGAAAATATACATGCGGGTGCATAAATAGGTACGACCGAAAAGGAAAACACTAAATGAAAAGAGTTGTATAGGGAGGAATAAATCTCAAGTTGGTAAACTAGACTGTCTCAGGCTTCCTTCCTCCATAGCCATTTAGTCCATTTGTCCCATTGGTGCCGTGGGACGACTTCAACTTGTCAGCACCTGCAGATCTCTTGCTCCTCTTCAGGAACCATACAATTACTTCCAAGAGAAGGGCAAGAGATGCCAGGGTCACCAAGATGCCAATGTATGCTCTTTTCCATTTCTTCTCCGGGCTCAGGATATCCAATCCTTTGAAAATGTTGGCGATGCTGATGCCGAGAATTCCGTATCCGACCAGGTAGTGGTAGCAATTCCAGTAGCTTCTCCACTTGTGATCCTTCTTCGGCCTTATAAGCAAAGCACTCGCCTGAACCAATGCCAGGGTAAAGAGAGCAATGCCAAGGCCCCTGTGGACTGCGTACGTGATTCCTGGAGACTGGCTCCCCAGGCGGAGCCCAGTACCAAATCCGGCCACGCCAAGGATGAAGGCCGATAATTGGCAGGTAACATGAAGGTAAAACCAAGCAGGGTCCGCCAAAGGAAATTCCTTAACGTATCTTGCGATTATAGCCCCCAGAGGCATCAGAATTCCCCAACTCACCGCGTTCAGCACCCCATGAATCTGAAACATATCAAAAAGCGGATTGGGTCAGCAATATCATGATTAACTTTTTCTTTACAAATAACATGTTAAATAGATTCAAGGAATGTCTATCTATCTACAAGTCTTTATATTTTTTTTTTGGGGGGAAAGTAAAGATATATAATCACGAACTCAAGAAAGAAAGGGAAAAACGATTCAAAGACTTGCATTCTTAGCCTTGAGTTTTGAACTTGAGGCTCCTGCTGTGGTCTTAGATTCTCCAGAAAGTAGGTTGAGAGTGCCCATGGATTGGACATTAGGACCAGTGGTGGGATGCATTCCAGGGCTGTCGTTTGAGAGTGGACCTTCTTGCCACACCTGGTTCAGAGTAGAGCTGGAATTCTGCAGCTTCAAGGTAGCATAAACGATCATCTCGTTATTCGAATAAGTAGCAGATAAATCCGAAACTGGGAAGCTCAAATCTCCTTCTTGTAATCCCGTCTGGTAACTTTTTATAGGCGAAGTGTAGGCTCTCATGGTTCCATCAGATTTCTGGAAAGCCACGAGTGCTTGTGATCCCACCATCCCTTGAGAAGTTGGATTAATAGCCCAAGAAACCCATCTTGATGATGATGTTCCCAAGCGCCTAAACGCGATCTCAAGACTCTGGGAAGATGGGCTGTACGTCCAATGAAGATAGGAGTTCAAATATGGAAGATCGCTGCAGGCACTGAAAACTTTATTGCTAGCAAAGTTGTACTTTGAACATGACTGCGCAGAAGTGGACGACATAAACAGAGCAAACAGGACGCCAAGAATCACCATGCATCTCATTGTTGCACCCATCTTTGTCAATTAGCCTGTTGATCAGAAAGATAATTGGTGCGAGAAATATAACTAGTGCTTGCGTTGGAGAGAAGGGAAGATTGAAGGGAAAGACTTGGAAGAGGGAGTCTTAATATAGGAGACTGGTGGGGCAAGAGTAGTTAGGTAGTTTGGTGAGGGGTTTGCAATTGAAAAGGAAACATGGTTCCAAGTTTTGTTGGAGATGGGGCACCTGTCAAAGATCATCAGAAGTCATTCATATTATATGTACTTCAACAAGTATACTTCGATTTATGTTTCAACAAACTGCCCTTTTTTTTTCAACCCTTAATATCTCTAACTTCAACTACAATCGTACTATAAACAACTTCCTGCTACATTATACTAATGAGGCTTCTCGTAGAATTGATAAAATCCAAACTGGGAAGCAAGGCAAGGCGCATGAAGATTGAAGATTCGAAGAATAGAGAGATTACCTGAATGAAAACTTCTAAAGTGCAGGGGGCTCGATAGCTGTAATCTTAATGTCGAAGAGGGCTGGATGGCCTCTTATATATAGACTATGGAGCGCCAATTTCTGTGACCGTGTTGGAAAAGGAAATACTACCAATTTTTAGTCGTTTTAGAATAACCTTCTTCATTCAGATTATGGTAACGTTTATTTTATTTTATTTTTCTTCCGCACCGAATCACTCTAAGATTGGGAATGGAATTAAGACTCCTTTTGGTTAGAGATTTAGGTAACCACCTGGAAATGAAATTCTTGTAGGACTTGGAAAAACACTGGGCAAAACACAGAACTTATGCTTCTTTCTGCAGAGCAGAATGAGATTTGCATGAGGAAACCTTTTTTTTCTCAACATTTCCCTCTGTATTTGCACACCTCTTTTTTTTTTTAAGAAGACTTGCACATTTTCTCAACATATATATAATGATCGTTGCCTAATGCTTGGGGAGAATTGAAGGTCAAACCAAGTAATAATTGTTGCGGAAGAAGAACTGCAACTGTAAAAGAAGTAGGGAGAACAGTTTTACATGGATTGCCTTATTCCCAACAGTCCTAACCACCACACTTTGCAGTTTGACTCGGGTGAATCTTGACCCACTAACAGATGAACTAGTAGTAACAACTCTTTCGTAAGACTATCGTCAGATGTAGGATTGTAGTAGTAAATTGGATTAGGTTTCATGAGATGATAGAGTTCTGCTGCAACACCCATATGACCCGCCCAGCCTGGTCAAACCAAACCATGGCTGCCTCTGGATGGGGCCCATCAGGAGTTTAAATATAGTTTTTAAATTGCATAATTAATATTACTTGTTTCTCAATACATCAGGTGAGGTCTCTTCGGATGAGTGGCTCCTGTGCTTTAAATCTCTGTGGTATTGCATGTGGAAGGCTTGATCTCTTTTATGAACTTGGATATGGAGGCCCTTGGGATGTGGCAGGTGGTGCTCTCATTGTTAAAGAAGCTGGAGGTGTTCTGTTTGATCCGTAAGTCCTCTGAACTTCTGACATCTTCCTGGTCTATTAAAAGAATTGGATCTGCATGCTGCTCATCCAGTAGTTCTGGAGTTCAGAATGTCGTTCCAAAATGAAACATGCCAAGTCTCTAAATGTCGCATCCGTAGAAATAGCACTGAATTTTATAATTGCTTTAACTTATATATATGATAAGAGGCTATTTATGAGTATTGCATGTTGCTTTTGCTGCAGGTCTGGTGCTGATTTTGATATCACCTCGCAAAGAATAGCAGCTTCAAATTCTCTTCTCAAGGATGCCTTCATTGAGGCATTGCAGCAATCCAAATGAGAGAAACATGGTAACTCAGAGAGCTACCACAACAGTTCCGTAACAGTCACCTTCTTATATATTATGAAGAATTACAGATTATTCATCTATTCAGTTCACATCAAAGGCTTTAGAAGCACTCTAATTAGCTGGAAAATGGCCTAGTCAGTTTTACTGAGTTGCAAAATATTAGCTGCACCAAATGCGCTGTAGTGTCCAATTGATATGACTACCTTAGTTCCAAGTTCACCCTACATTGGATGGAGCTCCTAAAAATGCTTTTTCTTGATATCTGAAGCTTATGGCTCTTGAGAAATTGCTAGTTCTATGTTTGAGTATTTTCTGCCTCTCCTCTCTGCGCTTTGCTGTTTTTATAGCCATGCCGCGGAATGTGCATCTTTGCACTATTGTAGTTTGTTTCTTGGAAACTCTCGTGGGCATTTTTTTTTTCCCAAGAAAACGTAAGATACTTGATTTTAGCATTGGTTGCATAATTAGGGCCTAAATTTGTGGTTCGCATTAGAAACTGATCAACATAAAAAGTTAAGCTTTTTTTCATGGATGGTTGAGAATATGATAATTAAATTATTGATATCAGCACATGTTGCAGGAAGTGGACGAATTGACTGGGACAAATAAAGTAGATTAATGAAACCAACCGTAACGCGAACTACTCTATGCAACAGGACGGACGGAGTAGGTAGTTAAGCTATTGATGTCACGACATGGAATTTGGTGGCGGCAAACCATTACCAAATTTCTGTCATCAGTTCCTCCCTTGTGCTAATGCAGCGATTAAGGTATCCTTTTTTATACAAGGATTCGAAGCTACTGTACTTTTTTTAAGAAATTGCACATCGTTTAGAATTTGCTCTGTCTGTCAATATTTCTGGGTCTCTGCAAATAATGAAGTGTGTCATCATACGCCTATTGCTTTTTCTACAGAGCACAGACACCTATTGATCATCAGAAATAAGAGTATGGAAAAAAGGCACATATAGATAAGAGATTTTAATCGTCGAAAAAAAAATAAATCCGCAGATGCCATTCAAGAAACAATAGTACCTACATATCGGCGTGGAGTTCTAAAATTCTACTACTACTAAATCATAAACTCATCTTAAAACCCCTACCGTCGAGTTGGAAAATATACATGTGTGACGGTCCTACCTTCCCCTAAGGCGTACCAAAGGGTTCGGCGGGTCGCCTGCCCAACTCTCGCCGGGATTCAGTCGTTCCTTAATCAAATTCGGAATATAACCAAAGAAATAACATACAACAATCCAAAATTTAAGTGAAACTTATATATACATTACTATCTCAAAAAAAAATACAACCATCAAAGGTACAAAGGTTCTCACTTCACCATACAATCAGCCCGTGCCAAGCACTAGGGCGAGAACCATTACAAAATCAAAGAGTTAGACCAAGCTAGTCTATACTAAGCTCTCATCCTTGCATGCCTTCCCCTGTTAAGGAAAACAAAACTAAAGAGATAAGTTAAGAGCTCAGTGAGATTCCGAACACATAATCAAATAGTCATTTCAATACATGAAATATGGAGTATCAATAATTCAAGAAACATTTACAATGGAAAGCGATAGTAACACATTCATTAAAAGGATACGGCTCACAATGAGCAATTTGTTTGTTCGTTCATTCTCTTGACATTTCCCCTTATTCCTCCAATCGTTTAAAAATGCATTTTTGTAAGTAAAATCCCTCGTTTGTTCTTTCGTTCGTTCATTCCTTCCCAGCCGTTGGTCAGGCTCCACCCATCCGGACGTTGTCCGGACTACAAGGTAATACTCGAGTATACCGACGTTCACACCCAGGGTCACCATATCGCCCGACCGAGTCCGCTACTGGCTCGAGTCGATCGGTAACGAAGGGCAGGGCCCAGTTCAGCCAGAAGGCTTACATTCATGCATAACTAATCATTTGTTCAATCATTAAATCATGAAAAAGTTCATATGTATTTAGGTCGAGTGCGATGAAGTACACACTCGCCCAGAAAACTTGTTTCGAAAATCATGGAAAGTACTTAACACGTTATCAAACAATAACACAAGTCATGGAGTCAAGAATAATATAGCAAATAAGGAACACTCACCTATGTACGCAAAATAACTTACAAAATTTCCTTCCGGATATTATCCTTAGTCACCGAGAAAACCTAAAGTTAACGAGACAGAATATTACAGCTCATCCAGCACAAACAATTAGGTATTTAAAGTGAAACCAGGACATTTAGACCCTTAGATAAAATAATTAGGGTTTCGTAGACCAAATGTAAAACCAAACTCAAAAGGATTATAAAATTTTTCAATGAAAACACTTGAACTAAAGACAAGTCGGAATCCAACTAGATAGGCTAAGAAATACTGTTTTCAGAATCGTTTATATGGTTCAAAATCATCTCATATTCAAGTAGATTTTATAAACTAAAGGTCTTAATGAAATTCATGTAAAAAGGATAACAAAGTACCCAAGAAAACCCTAAATCACTTCTCTTTATTTGATAAGAGTAAGTAGACATTTGGAGTTTCCAATTGAAAAATGACCACGTTTTAAGATGGAAAAACGGTCATAGTATTTGCCAAACGAAAATATACAAGTTCAAATAGAAAATTAGTTCTCGAGCGAAAATTTGGGCAGCACCCCCTTTGTATTTACCTATTTTTCAGCCATTTATGGCTTTATTATTTTCCTCAATCAATCCCAACATTACACACAACATAAACAGCCACTCAATATGCTTAGGACAATACAAGGACAAAAATTTAAGCTAATAACAAGTGTGGAAACGAAGTTTACAAAAGACAGTTTTAACGGATTTTTGCGGAATGGGCACATCCGAGGTTACGCTTATCGGATTGAGGTGCAACTTATACCATTTTGAAACTAAGACAAGGGGCTACAAGGTTGAAGAAGGCCACTTAGTCCAGTTTGCAATGTATCTAGGTCAAATTTATCAAAACAACTCCAGATTTTTCAATTCGAAGTTTATTATGGCAGTCCTGAGTCATTCAATCATATCTCAGAATATACAACTCCAATTCAAGTGATTCTAAATCCATTTGAAAGCTAAGATATAAGGCTATAAGTCTTAAGAAGACATCAACATCCAAATAAGTAGTATTCCTGGTCAAAACAACCAATTACAGAAGCTGATTAGTATGTTCGGATAGAAACAGGGCAGCAGGGATATTTCGGTTTTTTCATAGGTTACGTTGCTCCGATTGAGCTAAAATTTTGTAGAATACTATAAAATATCATTCTCTACAACTTTCATGTTTTGTACCAAGCCTAATTCAGCCTCTAACATAGGGCACTGAAACAGGACAGAACTGAAGCATAAGAAACCGATATTCTGGAAATTTGCTCCATTCAAGGTATAACTCTCATTTTAAGCTTGAAATCAGCACTACAACCTCATATACAAGCTTATATATATCATATACCATTCATACAGCAAGTATAAGAAGAAAATCATTCAAACCCAAAGCTGAAATTTTACACTACAAAGCTGGAATTGACCAAATCTACTACTAAACCATGAGATCTACCCAACAAACCATAACTTTCACTTGTAAACTATTAAGTAGTACAACCATGAACTAATACCTTCCTCACCTAGTATTGGAGAAGCACAACAGCCTCTAGGAAGCTTGAACCACCAAAACTCTCCACTCCAAGATAGCAATCCACCTTTCTAAGCAATTTTCATGGATTATTTGGTAAATCCATCGGTTAGTTTGCAAGATTGAGTAAGAAATTAAGATGGAATGAAATGTTTCTTTCTCTCCTTTTCTCTCCTCACTTTCACGGCCAAATGTGCAGAAAATGAAGAAGAAATGCAGCCCAAGGAAAGATAAGAAAGCAAGAAAAAAGCTTGGTCAAAATTTAACACATGTCACAATTTAATTGGTGGTCAAAATTTTCTTTTCTCTCTCTTGTTTTTTTTTCCAACTTTTCGGCTGCTTTATCAGATATTTTGGGGCTGATTTAACTCAATTAATAGCAAGGGTATTAAGGTAATAAAGTGGTGTTCACATGGTGCACTCACTCGATAACAAACGGTGCATGTCGGTTCTACCCGTTTTTCCTTAACTCGCACGTACTAGGCGTTTTACTTATAATTTACTAACTTATTATTCTCACTTCTAATCTCATATTATTTCTCATCTAAAACTCACTCTTAATTACAAAATTTAGTACACAACCCTCCACACTTAATCGCATTACCAAAATACGTGAAAACTCTAATTTACCCGAACTATAAAACTAAGCGTAAAACTCTTAATTCTATTCTTTATTCCAACCCTTGAGGATGTAAATAAGTAGTATAGCTATAATAAGGTAATGTATTTCAAATAAAAGGGAATTTTAAGAAAAAATGTGATGAATTTTACAATTTCATAGAATAAAATTAGGGTTTTCAGTCAAATATGAGGGATTTAAACACAACCTATTAGTCACAAGTAAACTAGGGTTTTAAAATACAAGTAGGGTTTTTAGTCTTTAAAATAAAATAATGTTTTAAAATAAAAATAAAATAAAGAAACCATAATCTTTTCTTTGAGATTAAACAAAAATAATATCCTAAAATTTGGGGTATCACAACATGCGGTGCATAAATAGGTACGACCGAAAAGGAAAACACTAAATGAAAAGAGTTGTATAGGGAGGAATAAATCTCAAGTTGGTAAACTAGACTGTCTCAGGCTTCCTTTCTCCATAGCCATTTAGTCCATTTGTCCCATTGGTGCCGTGGGACCACTTGTCAGCACCTGCTGATCTCTTGCTCCTCTTCAGGAACCATATAATTACTTCCAAGAGAAGGGCAAGAGATGCCAGGGTCACCAAGATGCCAATGTATGCTCTTTTCCATTTCTTCTCCGGGCTCAGGATATCCAATCCTTTGGAAATGTTGGCGATGCTGATGCCGAGAATTCCGTATCCGACCAGGTAGTGGTAGCAATTCCAGTAGCTTCTCCACTTGTGATCCTTCTTCGGCCTTATAAGCAAAGCACTCACCTGAACCAATGCCAGGGTAAAGAGAGCAATGCCAAGGCCCCTGTGGACTGCGTACGTGATTCCTGGAGACTGGCTCCCCAGGCGGCGCCCAGCACCAAATCCGGCCACGCCAAGGATGAAGGCCGATAATTGGCAGGTAACATGAAGGTAAAACCAAGCAGGGTCCGCCAAAGGAAATTCCTTAACGTATCTTGCGATTATAGCCCCCAGAGGTATCAGAATTCCCAAACTCACTGCGTTCAGCACCCCATGAATCTGAAACATATCAAAAAGCGGATTGGGTCAGCAATATCATGATTAACTTTTTCTTTACAAATAACATGCTAAATAGATTCAAGGAATGTCCATCTATCTACAAGTCTTTATATATTTTTTTTTGGGGGAAAGAAAAGATATATAATCACGAACTCAAGAAAGAAAGGGAAAAACGATTAAAGGACTTGCATTCTTAGCCTTGAGTTTTGAACTTGAGGCTCCTGCTGGGGTCTTAGATTCTCCAGAAAGTAGGTTGAGAGTGCCCATGGATTGGACATTAGGACCAGTGGTGGGATGCATTCCAGGACTGTCGTTTGAGAGTGGACCTTCTTGCCACACCTGGTTCAGAGTAGAGCTCGAATTCTGCAGCTTCAAGGTAGCATAAACGATCATCTCATTATTCGAATAAGTAGCAGATAAATCCGAAACTGGGAAGCTCAAATCTCCTTCTTGTAATCCCGTCTGGTAACTTTTTATAGGCGAAGTGTAGGCTCTCATGGTTCCATCAGATTTCTGGAAAGCCACGAGTGCTTGTGATCCCACCATTCCTTGAGAAGTTGGATTAATAGCCCAAGAAACCCATCTTGATGATGATGTTCCCAAGCGCCTAAACGCTATCTCAAGACTCTGGGAAGATGGGCTGTACGTCCAATGAAGATAGGAGTTCAAATATGGAAGATCGCTGCAGGCACTGAAAACTTTATTGCTGGCAAAGTTGTACTTTGAACATGACTGTGCAGAAGTGGACGACAGAAACAGAGCAAACAGGACGCCAAGAATCACCATGCATCTTCTTGTTGCACCCATCTTTGTCAATTAGCCTGTTGATCAGAAAGATAATTAGTGCGAGAAATATAAGTAGTGCTTGCATTGGAGAGAAGGGAAGATTGAAGGGAAAGACTTGGAAGAGAGAGTCTTAATATAGGAGACTGGTGGGGCAAGAGTAGTTAGCTAGTTTGGTGAGGGGTTTGCAATTGAAAAGGAAACACGGTTCCAAGTTTTGTTGGAGATGGGGCACCCGTCAAAGATCATCAGAAGTCATTCATATTATATGTACTTCAACGAGTATACTTCGACTAGAGGCATTTGCACGGCCTGTGCCCCTTAGAAGTGTAGTTAAACATAAAGCAATATATCTTTTTGGTAAATATAGGAGAAAATTTGAGCATCAAAACAATTAAAATTTGCTGTGAAGAAAAATTTCGTTTATGAAATAAAGATTTTTGAACCAATACTATGTGTGCATAATAATACCAAAAAAAGGAGAGATAATAAGTACACTATATTATCAATTTAATAGCAGCATACTTTAATTGTGACTAAACCAAAAGTAGTCATAATACTTCTAGCACTTTAATAATTAGAAAAGGTTTAGAAAATCACCAAAATTTGTCACAATTTTCAACATCAATAAAAGATACAAACTTGCACATTTTTCTATCCTTTTCAAAACATACAAACCTACACATTGGTTTTTTTGTCTTTTTCAAAGAAAAAATGAGTTGTTAATCCATCCATTTAAATCCTTTTTAATAGCATTACAACAGGTGATAACATTATTTGCCAAAAAGCTTGAGGATACAAATAACAATATTAGATAAAAATATGTACTGCCATGTTTGCAAATGTACATATACAAATTCGAAACAAACCATTTGTTTGATTGTAAAAATGTCTTCTTAATCAAGATTGAATTTTTTTACAATTTTTTTGTCGAATCACACTCTAGGCTAAAAGTCACAATTTTGACTTCCACCACCAATTGCAATTCCTTAACAACAATAATCAATTCAACTACTTGAGTTTACAAAAATTTATCAACTCCTTTAGCCAAATAGTCATGATATATCGAGTTCCACATCTAGCTTATATAAAAATACAAATTCATAGAACCAACTTAAGCAAATGATTTTAAAATCTAGTTTTACACTTTTTTTTCTTCTCAAACTATCATGCAATGAAAATAAACCACTTGTCATGGATACAAGTCAGTAACCTAAAATGAAGAGATTATACGAAATATTTTATTCATATCCTAAATTGCTAGCCCCGACAATTCCTTTACATATCATCCTTCTCATCTAATAAATAACCATTTTTCACCATTAAGAAACTTTAAATAAATCAAAATATGGAAATATAATTATCTATCTATAAATTAAGAGATTTTGATTAATTTTAAATTCAATAGACCTCTCTATTTCCTTCAGAGTCATCATTCACCTTCGATCTTCACTTGTCAAATTCTTCCTCCTCCATCCCAGCACTATTGGCCTATTGTCAAATAACCATTTTAATAAATGAAAACTAAAATAGGAATGAAAATAAGTTGAGGAAAAATTGTTATCTTCCCTCAACAAAAATTGCTATCTTCCCTCATCCACTCAAACAACAAAACCCATTCATTTAGTTAATTATAGAAAAATTGAAAAAAAATGCATCAACTAATTCAATATAAAAAAAAGAGTAAATGATTAAGGTGAAGGAAAAAAAAAGAGAAAAAAATGAAAAGAGTACAGAGTGAAAATTGAGCATGCAAATGATAGTGTAGATGAGGATGAGGGTTCTTGTGGTTGTCTTTGCCAGAAAGGAAAGAGGAAATGAGGGGAAAAAAGAAAAACACAAGAAAAAGGGAAAAAAAATAGTTTCCTCAAAGGATTAATGAGCCGCATGTCAAAGTAGATAGGAGCCATTTGGCAGCCATCATTCACCTTGGATCTTCACTTGTCAAATTATTCCTCATCCATCCTAGCACTATTAGTCTATTATCAAATAACAATTTTAATAAATGAAAACTAAAATTGGAATGAATATAAGTTGAGAAAAATTTGTTATCTTCACTCAATAAAATTTGCTATCTTCCCTCATCCACTCCAACAACAAAAACCATTCATTTAGTTAATTATGGAAAAATTGAAAAAAAAATGCATCAACTAATTTAATAGAAAAAAAAAGAGTAAAAAATTTAGGATGAAGGAAAAAAAGAAAAAAAAATGAAAAGAATACAGAGTGAAAATTGAGTATGCAAGTGATAGTGTAGATGAGGATGAGGGTTCTTGTGGTTGTCTTTTGCCAAAAGGAAAGGAGGAAATGAGGGGAAAATAAAAGCCAAAAGAAAAAGGAAAAAAAAATAAAGATAACTTACTCAAAAGATTAATGAGCCATGTGTCAAAGTAGATGGGCGCCACTTGGCAGCCATAGAGATTGCTACAGCAATCTCACTTCTTTCTTATATAATAAGTAGATTTATGTTTCAACAAACTGCCCTTTTCAACCCTTAATATCTCCAACTTCAACTACAATCGTACTATAAACAACTTCCTGCTACATTATACTAATGAGGCTTCTCGTAGAATTGATAAAATCCAAAGTGAGAAGCAAGGCAAGGCGCATGAAGATTGAAGATTAAAGATTCGAAGAATAGAGAGATTACCTGAATGAATTCGCGGGTTAAAACTTCTAAAGTGCTGGGGGCTCGATAGCTATAATCTTAATGTCGAAGAGGGCTTGATGGCCTCTTATATATAGACTATGGAGCGC